ACTCTAGACAGCATTGCCTTTAGCAGCTCCTAAAAACTTAAGAAAAGGATCTTAAAACAGGAAGCTTAGTGAGCTCATAAAACTGTTGTTGGAGCCAGAAACACATAGCATATTTAATCTGCAAACTGTGAGAGTCTACAGTGATTTCAGCAAGATCTGAGGCATGCCCTCAAGGTTTGCTGGGATCTGGGATTAAGGGGTTGATAAGAACCTCTACTGCCCATGGACATGTTTTTCTTCTGCAGTTAAACACAAATGCATAGAGACGTTTGACTGCTGCTTGGCGTTACTGCTCAAGTTATATAAAAGCTTTGCAGCTCCTTTTGCTGTCAATATATCAAAGTTTAAAAAAAATCATCAAAGTGTGAAATTTCATTTAAAGTCTTTGCCGGTCTACAGCTCTATTTCACAGGCCCATCAAATAAAAGTAAAGATGAAAAATACACTGAAAGTACTTGAAAAAGTTTGCAGCAGTACCCCTGCCCTGTTGTTGTTTATTCTGCCTCCTTTTATTTGCTTTGAAACTAGAACAAATCAATTTTCATCTAGAAAAATGACAACATGAAGTGAAGGGTAGCATCTTCTAATAGACTTTAATGGAAAGACAACCTGAAGTCATTATTAGAATGGAATCTTTTAACAAATTAAATACACACACATTTCCTCTACAGTCACTTCAGCATTTTAATTGCCTCTCAGAATATAAATTGGCAGAAATTGTCTTGAATCTTCCAAAACAAATCAGACTGACTATAGAATCTGAATGCCAGCAAAACTAAAACCTTCAAAGAATTCTTTAGCTGGGGATTTACAACAACTGCATAAAGAAGAAAAGTCTGACTTTTAAGATAATCTACTATAGTCTAAAAGCATTAACATTCCATTACTAAGGTTTTCTTGAGGATTTCATGACTCATTGATTCACTTTTCCTTCAAGACTGGTTTTTCCTAGTACATTACTGTCCATATAAGTGAGTGCATGGAACAATGATCATGAAATTGTTTCCTTTCATAAACTCCCAAACCCTATCCTCAAAAAAAGGGGGTATCTCAATGAGCAGGACACCTTACAGGGAAAGAAGGACCTCTAACCGACTAAGCACCAAAGTCTGAAACCCTTACAATATGCAGATAATTAAGAAAACTGGCCTAGAAACAAAGGAAAGTTCAACTTTTAGGCTTGGGCATAAAATTGATAAATTAATGACTCTTGCATTAAATAAGTAATGAAATAACTCAACAGAGCCATTTGTCATCAGTATTCATTTTCTCATTTCTGTGTGTAGTCCTTTGCAAATCAGACATACAATAAAAAGTCTTTATACCAGGGTTCAATCAAGGAATACAAATATTTTAAAGGTACCAGGAATTGACAGGTATCCTACTAATCTAGTAATAATAATATAATCTATACCATTTAAAGTGCTTCACAAGACACCTCTCACATTGGACTTATTCAGGCATCTTAACCGGTTTCCCTAGGCTGACTTTAAGAATTATACACCCTGAAAGGATCTCCCCTCAGGCACAGAGTTTCTAATTAAATAGCTTTTAGTACAAAGTAAATTCTCTTCTCTCTATAAGTATGCTGTTACAACTAATATAAACATTTTTTTGTGTTTGTTTTAGGTCTGACTGTAGTCCACCTGTCCAAAGTATATGTGTACCAGGTTGTTAAGACCAATACTTCCCAACATAAACAAATTCTTTAGATACTTCACACAGTTTACATTGTTAAGACCAATTGCCATTCCCTTAATATATTCTCACAACTGAAATATTGTAATGCTTTGGAAAAAAATGAAGATATTTTGAGGTTATTTCACTACTTTAAAACATAGCATTTTCCTACTTCAAAATAATCTCGACACGTGTAATTAAGAAACTGTCAGACTATTATTAATTTTTAATTTAAAATCTAAATGAAATAATTACAAGAATCAATCAATAAGGCACCTATTCAAATTACAGAGCAATTACGTAAACATTCAAAATTAATACTTTAGGCCAACTCTTAAAGATTTCAGTCTATAACATGCTAAGACATCAAACAACACAAAAAGCCTAACATGGGAAGGATGAATAGTTTCTGCCTTAAACATACTAAAATCAAATCATTTTAGTTAGCCAACGCAGAAGCCCCCCACCAGCTATGCCCATCCCACTCAAGCTGCAACTCTTTTTAAGTTAATTTATTTCCAGCAGACACATATTTCAGGGATCTAAAAAATGGTCTCATCCAAATTCTGTGCAAAATCACATGTGGGGGAAAAGCCTAATTATTGTGAATTTCCAGCAAAGTGCTCTGGAAAGACAAATTGGGGAAAAGGAAAAAAGCAAAAGGAGAGCAGAAGGTGCTTTTTAGAACTAATAATACCAGTCAGGCTAACAGCACTGCCCACATCTTTCCACAGCAACCTCTGAGGGGAACCTAAGTTTTGCCACCCCAAAATATGCCTTTTAGGCTATTGACTTTTAAGCTGGTTATTAATAAATAAAAGACTCAGAAAGAAGCTTTGGTCCTCCTCCTTGCCTACCTAAAGGAATTCAGATAGAAAAATCTGCTTAAAGGACAGGAGCATCACATTAGCATATTATAAACTATATACTGTCAGAGAGAGAGAAATCTAGCAAAGCCTGTTTATTAGATATCCCTCTGTGTCCAATTGTTTCTGGGTGGCCCATCAACAATTTGTTTACTACGTGTTTGTTCTTTCTCATCTACCTGTAAATTGCATGCTTCCCCTTTGAAATCCCAGTCCCCTGCTTCCCTCTTTGTTCAGAACCACATATAAATCTCAACTGCCCAATGTGTCTTCAGGTCTCTTATTCTTGTCACCCCCGCATGTACATCCATAATAAATTTTGGACATTTTCTCCTGTTAATTTATTAGTCCAGCTGGAAGAACTTAGAAGGAGCTTAGAAGGAGGAAAAATTATTTTTTTGTGTCCCCACACCTCTGACTTAAGGGCTCTTTTACTTGGAGATGGGGACAGTCCATCATTTCAAACTGAAATGGCAGCTGTAAAATGTGGAACAGCTGGCAAAGAGCTGGGAGAAAATGTTTTACATAAATACACGTACATATAAACTGGCAGAGGGCCACAAGCACTGTACCCAAGGCCAGAATCTATTCGGCACTGCAAATCAGGGAGATGAGAAATTGGGGGCAGAAAGAGTGGGAGGAGGAAGCCTCCTTAAGCCTCTTTCTACAAAGGGTCAGCAAGCCTGGATCCAACTACGCTAGGGGTGGCATCTCCTGAAGGAGATGCAATCAGAGACAAGCACAAAGTTCAGGAAAAGATAAAAGGCCCGAGTGTGCAGTGGTGCTTTAGCCTCTGGCAATCTGCTGAAAAGACTCACAAAGTCTCCAAGTTCGGAGTAAATATTTACTCCCTCTCCACCTCCTCCCGCCTATTTTCCCTCTGCAACTCAAGAAAGTAACTGTCCCCTGCAGAGTGATTCATACAAAATCTGCTCTGTGAAACTGCGGCCTCTTAAAAAATTGTTGTAGGGGCCACGGTTACCCACATACCCGCACTCACTCCCTGCAGCTTCTCTTTATTTGTTTTCTTTTCTTTTCTTTTGTTTGTTTGTGCTGTCCCTGGAAAGGAAAAGAAATGAAGGAATCCCAAATCATACACAGATCATACACAACTTTCGCTTTTCCTCTATTACAGGGGAGGCGCGCCTCTCCGTGCACTTCGCTCCCCCCGCCCTCGGAAGGGAAGTGTTGGCTGGAGGAAGCCCCGCAGCGGCGAGCCCCGCGCGGACCCGCCCGCTGCCCGCCGCGCCCTGCACCCGAGGGGGACGCAACAGTGCGCTGGCCGGCGTCCGAGCTTTGAGAGTCTAATCTAGCTCGTCTTCACCCTTTGGGTGAGCAGTGGGGGACAGGGGTGCCGTCGCCGCTGTAGCAAACTTCGTACCCCTCTGGGATGTGCAGTTCTTCTGTCCGTCTCCAGTTGGCCGAGGGGTGAGACACTTGGAAAGGGAGCTTCAAGGAGGAATGAGCGAATGAAAGCCTTGCTCTGACGCCTTACGAGTTGCTCTCTAAATCTGGGTGCCTTTCACAGCCATTTTCACTTCCTCCCGTTCCCTTCATTGGGGACCCCCTCTCGACCTGGAAACGCCGGCGCGGCCGCAGGAACTGGCTGCCCAGTGCCGGGCCCGCGAAACAAAGAACTTCGGGCGGGACGTACCTGCGGCAAGCGGCGGCTGTCAAGTCCCCGAACTTCCCATAGACCCGCGTCTGGGACGCGGGCGAGCGGCTCCAAGCTCTGCGAGGCGCGGGCGGCTCGGGCTACGGCGAGCTGCGGGGCTGGACGCAGGGGACGCGGGTCGTCGACATTGTGCGGCGCAGGGGCCCGCGGGGCGCGCAAAGAGGGCAAGTCGGGGCGCCGAGTGTGCGCGACGGCGAGTGTGCAAGCGCGCCGGTGGCGCTGCCCCTGCCCGCTCCCCGCTCGTGCAGCTCCGGCATCGGTTTCAGGGATCGTGTAATCCGATCCCTTCTGACTCACAGGCCCTGAGTGACAGTTCTGATTTGGTTCACCCGCGGGAGGGAGGGAAAAGAGAAAGAAAGAAAGTCCCCACAGTATGCCCCTCCTGGCATCCAATCGACTTTCTGGAAGAAGGTCCCATCCCGGCCTGGAGACCCGCGCGGGTGGAGGAGCCCCCCCATCCCCCGCTCCTGCCCAGCGCAGCCCGCGCTACTCACGCGGTGGAAAAGTTGTCCCTCGGTTCCGCGCGTCCCTCCTCGCACTCTCTCCTTCCCTTCTCTCCTCTTCCTCCTCCTTCTGCCCGCGCTTCTCCTCCCCCAAGTTTTAACAGATGTTGCCGGACGCTCCCCTCACCCTCGCTCCCTCTTCCTCCGCCCCCGCCTCCGCCCAGTCTCTTTTCTTTCTGCTACTCCACTCCACGCCGTAGGGACGCGCCGAGCAGCTAGACCCCTGCCGCCGCAGGGGGCGAAGTTGGGAAAACTTGGGAGTGCAGCTTGACTTACTTTTGCTTTCTCGCTCCTTCCAGGCCGCACTGGGTCCCCGTGCCCAGAGCGGGTCCCAGCTGCGATGTGGCCAGTGCTGACAAGGAGGCGGCGCGGCGCCGGCTGAGGTCGGTGCTGGGGGAACCCCGGGCGCCGAAGGCCACGCGCGCGCTCCCTGCCCCCCTCTGCCTCCTTCGCCTCTCCCAGGTCCTCACGCAGACACATTCATGCCTGCTCCTCCTCTTCCCCCTCCTTGACCCCGCGCCCGCTCGGCGCGCCGAGGCCCCACCCACCCGGCGAGGGAAGGGGGCCGGGGCGTGATGTCACGGCCGCCCTCTCGGCCTGCGCTCGTTGCACCGCCGGGACGCCCCCGCCGGCCACCACACCAGCGGCCCGCACGCGGGGTCTGCGTTCTTCCTGCTCCTGTCGCCTCCCACCCCGCCTCACCGCTCCCTTTTCTCTCGCTCACAGTTTAAGTCTCTTTTTTTCTTTTAAGGCCTCTCTGAGCACACCCCTTATTGGCTCCCCCTCTACTTTTACATTTCCCCTGGCCAACCCTGAAACTCCTCTCACAAAAGGATGCTTTTGGAAACTCAGGGTTTTCCTCTCTGTCGGACTCATCTGCCTTTGGGGCCAAATTTGGGAAGTAGGAACTCCCAGTACACAGCTTGCTATCCCTATGGGCGATTTTATAAAGGACACAAAACAAAGACCCCGGGCTTGCAGCCTGGACTCCATCGTGGTGCTTGCTTTACCCTGAGCTAAAGTGTCTCTGTCCCTGATTTATTTTTAGCGGCCTATACTAGTAAAAATTATTTCCCTCCACCCAGCAAGCCTACATCTGTTCCCTCTCAATGTACCCAGCCTAGGCTGGGAACTTAAAAAATGAGCTCCAATGGGTGGTGGGAGGGCAAAGGAATAAAAAGAAAGAAAGAAAGAAAAAACTGACATTCCAAAATCCATTCTCCTGGGATAAACTGAGCATCTACCCACCTGCCCGCCGCCAGCAGTGCCTGGGAGCTCAGGGTGCACTTGTGTTGACTCGCTGAGCCTCTTGACTGAAGGAAGAGAGTGGGTGGATGAATGATTAGCTATTATGATTTCAAGAGCGTTTTGGGATTCAAATGCTTAACTGGAGAATTTTTTTTAACGAAATTTATGGTGGTGTTCACTATTTGTTTCCTGGGACTTGTTGCTTATCTCAAAGACTTGAGAAAAGCACACTGACATAAGCTTTTATGGTAAAGCGTGGAGATAAAGTAGGCCTGAAGGTCCTTTTTAGGCATTTATTTTAAGATTTCTCAACCTACCTCACCCGTTTTGTTTTCTTTTTTAAAGAAAAGAAACCCACCACTTACCATACAGAGTAAGGGTCTCGGGATGGAAGAATGATGGTCCCAGCTTCAATTCCCCACGTTAATTGACCTCAGGCCCTATACAATTCTCTGAGCCTCCACAGGCTCTGAGCCCATCTATGGGATGGTGATAGGAAAACCAGGCTGCATACCTCCCAGGATTTGTATAAGTATCCAATAAGATAATGCACGTGAAAGTATAACAGGACACAAATGTGTAAGAATTATTATATTTCTGCAATTGCGGAGAATTTCAGGCCACTCTCCCACATATATTCCTCCAGCATCCATTACAATTTTTTTGTATTCAAGTACTGTTTCTGCCTCAATCACATGAATGCAAATAATACAACCTGATAGCCTACCCTGTTCACCCAATGGCAAAAAAAATAAATAAGAAAGACAGCTAATAAATCAACAACTTGAATAAACTAGATATTTTGACTTTTACTTAAAACAATCAGTCTTCTAGCAGATTTTGGATCATGAAGATCTTGATTCTCAGTTTTAAAAATACTAGAATAAAGAAAAAGCAGGTAATCTTTCCCTTTATCCCCATCACATTAGCTAAAAACAAAAGAGGAGGAATGTTGGAGTATCCTGTGTGTCTCTATTTCCTCACCTTAGATTCTTAGTAGAAACTAACAGCTCTCTGCTTTAGAGGTAAGCATATATGTAAGTGGGCACATTTTGCAGAAGTGGCAAAGGGAAAAAATAAGGCTTGCCTTAACTATCTATTTTAACACAAAAACCCTTTTTCCAAATGAAATCTTATATGGAATCCCAAAACTTAAAAGAGCTACTCTGGTTGCAGTTGGGGGTAGGATCTCAGAGTCCAGATCCCTAGCCTTTCTCTTGTCACCCACCCCCTTTTCTGCATGGCTCCTAAGACATCTCTAAAAATCTCAAAGTCACCCTTAAACTCAATATTGGAATAAATGGGCAATTACAGACTTACAGGGCTCTGAGATTGCCTTCCTCCATGTCAAAAATTCCACCATTATAGATTCATTTATTGCTATCTCTCATCAGTTCTCTTTTCAAATGCAAATATCCCAGGAAATTTTAATATAGTGAGTCCTCAAAATGATTAAGATTATAAAACAGATTTTTTTTGGGGGGGGGCATCAAATTGGATGAAGTGGAAGACATGAAGATATTTACATTAGTTTCCTAGGGCTGCCACAAACTGAAATCTATTGCCTCACAGTTCTGGAGGCTAGGAGTCCAAAATCAAGGTCTCGGCAGGACCATGATCCCTCTGAAATCTTTAGTGGAATATATTTCCTTGCCTCTCCCTAACTGCTGGTGGTGTCTGTCAGTCTTTGGCATTTCTTGTCTTGCAGCAGCTTCACTCCAACCTATGCTACTGTAGTCATACAGCATTCTCCCTTCGTCTGTATCTTCTCTTTCTAAGGGCCTTATTAGTCATATTGGCTTAGAAGCCCACTCTACTCCAGTATGACCTCATCTTAACTCAAGTACATTGGCTACAATCCTGTTTCCAAATCAGATCAAGTTCTGAGGATCCAGGAGTTAGAACCTCAACAATAACAATAATGAAAGAAATAGAGGAGAATGAAGGATTAGCAATTGCAAAGACAGAAGATAAACCTGAGAATAAACTTCTCATGCTTCTCTGCATTTTTTTGCATGGCCATGTGTGCATTACATAATGACTATTCTTGCCTGCAGCTCTTCCATCTCCCTTCACAGTAGTCCCCAATTAATTACTGGGAAATTCCAAGGGGATATTTCATGTATACTGATAAACTTCCAGCTACAAGTGACAAAATTCCAACTCAAATTGCTATAAGTTAAATTTTAAGGGAGATGAAGGGGTGTTTTGTTTACTGAGAAGTCCGGAAGCATGTAAGCAAGCTGCAGGCAAGGCAAGATACAGGAGCTCACAAAAAATGCCTGCTGAGTCTGTTTCCATCTTTCAGCTGGGCTTCATTCACACTTCATACAAACTTTCTTTAGGCAACAAGGAAGGTGGCCAGAGGTAGCTGCACTTTACATAATCAACCTTACTGTTTGCATTCCCAGAGAATAATTACCATGTTCAAGGGGATGCAGTATTTCTTCCTCTTGCCCAGGCAAGAGGGATAGTTGCATGCCAGGTGCACACTTAACACATGTCCTCTTTAAAGCCCAACATGATAGCCACCATTTTCTTCCTGTTTTGTGCTGGTCCCTTGTGTAAATGCAGGACTGTCACCTTTGATTCAGTTGCCCATCATAGGGCTGCCTACTGCGAGGTGATGCCTTCAATCTACTATTCTGAAGTCACAGTACATCCCACATCTATTTGGGGGGAAGGATTCTATTGCTCTTTGAATCACATAGTTGATCACAGGCTCTTCATATGTTGTTCTTTATGTATGAGTATCTTACCAATTTTCTTTTAGAAAATTGCTCAGATTTGCTTAGGAACTTTTCCCTTAAGGACTAATACCTCTTCTTTGTTCCCAAACTTAAGTTAGTAAAGGGTCTCATGATGTAAATACAAACAATGCCCCCAAACCCCCAGTGAAGCTTTACTATCTATTGGACCAAGCCTTCCTGCTGCATGCTGTCCACACTTAGAGTGAGTTATTTCCCTGGAGCCTCCTCAGTCTGGCATGCAAATAGACTCTTTGCAGACAACATAACCAGTCCTCTCAACATTTCAAATGTCTCTGAACTACAGCAGAGAATGCAGAAATTAGGACCTTTATCAGTGTGTATATATGTCTTTCGAGAGTATCTATGTCTTTCGCCAGTTAAGACGCTCT